GGCCTTCTCGGAGCAATTGCACCTCCATCATCAGCTATTCCGCTCACAAACTCATCTCCGGCTGACGATGGAAATGTAATCGCTCCGAAACGCGTCCCTCAATGTTTAACCTTGTTCAAGGGAGTTCGCAGACAAATGTTTTGCACCTGTTCAATTCACTAAATTTTATTCCGTTAAAACGTTTTTCAATAAGATTCGTTTTAAANGGGGGGAGGAGATTGTTATACACCGCAAACGAGATACGTGGTTTGGGAGTCTCAATGTCAATGTACAACGTCTACGCTGGATTTATTTATTTATTTTTGTGTCTTGTCACATCTCTAAGTTGGTTTCTCAAATCCAATCACTCAAGCGATAAGTGCAGATTGTTACTAATTGAAAATACATGGTAAAATTATTGCTATTGCGTTGGAGCGTCACTGATGAAGGGGCTCCTCTCGGCGCAGGCCCGACACATCCCATCTCGGGCCCTGGTACCAGGTTTAAGGTCCGGGCCCCAAGCAGGGAGGGGGGGGGGATCCGAGGGGCATCCCCCGATAAATTTTAGAATTTACACGACTAATCGGACGCATTTTGAAGCTTCCATAAAGAATTTTTCCATCAATTTCTGCGGAATAATACTGTTTTTTTTTCTACTTTCCAAGACGTATACTTCTTTGAAAATTTAAGAAGAATTCTACAGTGCCCCAGCGTGTTTCTGAAAATCTATTCACCTTTTGCGAAATTTTTAGGGTAAATTTTTCACTTTTTCTAACGAAACAAGGGTTGCATGTGAATTCGTAGTGGTTTTTCACGGGTAACATGGAAGCCCCGGTACCAGGGACCCAGTAACCCCCCCTTGTGGCGGGCCTGCCTTTATGCACGCTGGGCTTGTCGATTTTCTTTGACATTTTTGCAGTGGTGAATGCATAGCCGAAGTGCTCTCCAGCTAGAATTGTATGTAGCAAATGGGTAATTTTTTAAGAGGATTATAAATAAACAAGTAGTTAGAAATGAAAACAAAATACTATGAACTATGCAAAACGATTATTCAGATATCGGAACTTGGCTGTTTTGAAAACGCCTTCAAATGCGGCGTAATACCCCACGCATTCCGGAGAGTTCAAATAGTTGTATCATTGCGCCGTAAGTATGTGACGGAAGATTTAAAAGGAGATAGCCTCCATGCACGCTGGGCTTGTCGATTTCCTTTGACATTTTTGCAGTAGATGAATGCATAGCTGAAGTGCGCTCCAGCTAGAATTGTATTTAGCAAATGGGTGGTTTGTCTAAGAGGATTAAAAATAAACGAGTGGTACGGAATATAACAAAAGAATATGAACTATGCAAAACGATAATCCGGGTATCGGAACTTGGCTGATTTGAAAACGCCTTCAAACGCGGCGTGATACCTTACGCATTCCGGAGAGTTCAAATAGTTGTATCATCGCGCCTTCGAAATGCGACGGAAGATTACAATTGAAATAGCCTTCATGCACGCTGGCCTTTTCGATTTCCGTTAACATTTTTGTAGTCATGAATGCGCTTAAGTGCGCTTCAGCCAGAATTGTATTTAGCGAATGGGTGGTTTTTATAGGAGGATTATAATTAAACAAGTGGTTAGAAATGGAAACAAAATAACATGAACTATGCAAAACGATTATTCAGATAACGGAACATGGCTGTTTTGGAAACGCCTTCAAATGCGGCGTTATACCTCACGCATTCCGGAGAGTTCAAATAGTTGTATCATTGCGCCTTAGAAATGCGACGGAAGATTACAATTGAAATAGCCTTCATGCACGCTGGCCTTTTCGATTTCTGTTAACATTTTTGCAGTTATGAATGCGCTTAAGTGCGCTTCAGCTAGAATTGTATTTACGAATTGGTGGTTTTTCTACGAGGATTAAAAATAAATGAGTGGTACGGAATATAACAAAAGAATATGAACTATGCAAAACGATAATCCGGGTATCGGAACTAAGCTGTTTTGAAAACGCCTTCAAATGCGGCGTGATACCTCACGCATTCCGGAGAGTTCAAATAGTTGTATCATTGCGCTTTAGAAATATGCGACGGAAGATTACAATTGAAATAGCCTTCATCCCGGCGACATGTGTATAGTAGATCTGAAATAAGTTCTAATTTTACTTGCATCGCAAATAGCCTACCTTTTTCTTACATGCAACTCATTTTGTTGATCGTTTAAAATCTGCATTTACAGAGCAAATCATGCACAAATATGACAATTTCATGTTTGGGAGGGGGCGGTAAATTTATTCTGAACTGAAAAATCATTTCAATATTTCTGTTCCACTGTGTTACTTGTGAATTCAGCTCTGGTCCCTATTTGTAGGCATTGTATAGAAGTATAGTAGTTCTGTATATTATCCCAAGTATCAGTGATCGCGATAAGTTGCGATTCGATCGGAGAATGTATCACGATTTTATCGACGTCGATTTATTGCAATATTATGGGATAAAAAATTGCGATTAATCGCGATTTCATCTCATACATTCTCAATAAAATCGCGATTTTGTTTACGGCGATTCATCGCTGTATTATCTATAATGAAATCGTGATAAATTGAAATATAATTTCGATTTTATCGAACGCGATTTTATGGAGAAAAACTGCGACAAGATCAAGGATAGTCCCTCAAACATTATTGATCCCAGCGATTTTTCGCCAAAAAATCGGAAAGCAACTTAATCTCAGAATACCGCAATTTTTCCGCTCAAAAATACCAAAGACGGTGGAACTCCAAAACCACGAATCTCGGTTTCACTATACCGGGTCCTGATCATGGATTCAGCGGTCAACGAAAAGCGATGGCCGCCGGCCGACTAACGGAAGTGCGGAAGCACCACTACGACCTTCGAACCAAAGCTACGGTATCGTACCGCCCTCCGTTCTAAATTTACTGGGCGAAGAGTAATTAAAATTCCTACATCCACTTTATTTTTTATTTTTTTTTGGGGGGGGGCTGAAAGTAAGTATGAACATTAATTACAAAAAATTTCACCTCATATTTGCATTTCCTACTTAGGATTTTTGGACGCCACACAAACTTCGGCATGAAATGTCCCTCCTCAATTTTTAACAATGTATAGCACCCTTCCGTCGTGCTACTAGTGTTCAAAACTACAAACTGGAGAAAAACACATTGGATCTAGAGTCCAGACTCCTAAAGACATCGACAAGAAAAAATACTCTTGATTCAATCGGACTTTTGCTTAAATCAAAAACCAAGCCTCTTAATTTGAGCGGATTTCCTTTTGATTTAAGCAAAAATCTGATTGAATCACGAGTATTTTTTCTTGTCAATGTTTTCAAGAGTCTGGACTCTAGATTCAATGTGTTTTTTTTTTCCAGTGCAAATAAATTACCACTGAAAATTTGTAACGTTGCAAAAGTAGTATATAATGAGGGCTTGGACCTGGGAGCCTCGTTGCACCGATAACGCTCTTCGCGATGCGTCTGCCTATCCTATCTCTAGGGTGCACTATGACCGGGCAGGGGGTGCGGGGGGTATAGGGGGAAGTCGCTGGTCGCATCCGACTAATTACTATTTATTTTCAGGAATTGATTGAGACCGGTGTAATTTAATGCTGGGGTAAAGGTCAGGGATGGGAAGCAGACGGGTGCCCCAACTCGATTTGGACCCTTCTCGGTGGAGCGTCGCGACGCCCCCTTCCCTTCCTCACCCCTCCCCCTTCCGGTGCGGGGGCGGCGCGGGCGGCTTTTGGCGGCAGTTTCAGTCAGTGCCGGGGAGTCACGCTGCACACACGCTGTGCTCAGGTCACGTTTCGCTCACGTTCGCCCGGCTCACGAAGTTTCACCGGTCTCACGCTGCAAAGTTAGTATATTTTCTCTCGCGCCGGCCTGGCCGACCTGAGCTAATTTTCCTTTCTTCTTTCCTTTCGTTTTTAATTACACAGGTCTACGCCGAAAAAAACCCCGTTGAAGTCATTATGGTTGGTATTAAAAGGCCTAAGATTTTCCATGGAGGAGATACCGTGATTAACACTGGAAAAAGAATCACATTGGATCTAGAGTCCAGACTCTTAAAAACATCTACAAGAAAAAATACTCTTGATTCAATCAGATTTAAGCTTAAATCAAGAACCAAGCCAATTTGAGCTTAAATGTGAAGCTTAAAAGCTTAAATCTGATTGAATCAAGAGTCCTTTTCCTTGTCAATGTTTTCAAGAGTCTGGACTCTAGATCCAATGCGTTTTTTTTCCAGTGAGGAGAAACAAAGGTCATTTTCGGATTCAGAAGCGGAAAATACATGGAACAGTATGTGCCTAGCGCATACCAACGTATTTTTCCTCCCTGAGTCTGATAGAAAAGTTTTCCGGCATAAAGTGTCCGTATACCTCCATGTAAAATTGATCCGTTTGGTTTCGGTCTGAAAGGATGGGGAAATTCTCGATCCAATATTGTCTCATGGGGCAATTTTCTCTTACTTTTCGCTGATGAATTTGAAATTGACCTCAGTTTCTCCCATCATCCATACATACGCCGAAAAATCGAATTTTTAAAATATACGCGTTTTTTGAAATCTAAAAAGGTATTTTACGGATAACTGGTAAGTGATTTAAATAAATGGCATTGATTTTTGGCTCCAGTAGCAAAAAATATGTCGTATTTGTCGCTTTAGACACTCGGATGCAAATTTTAATATATTTTTTTCAAGCCATAAAAGCACCAAATAAGGTTGATACTGGGAGAATTGGGCGGTATAAGTCGTTAGACTGAAGAAAGTTTGTTCCCAAAAACAGCGAGGAAAATTCTCAGGCGTTGTGTGAAAGCAAGTTAGGGAATTTTCAGGCGTATGGTCGTTTTGGAATCTAGTTTGATTTCCTCAGTGTGTCGCTGCCAATTTCAAAAATGACCCTGGTTTTCTCCATTACTCGTCAGCTCGCTGAATAGTCAAGTTTTGCTCGGAAAAACACCCTTCTTAAAAATTGGAAAACACACATTTTTGGAAACTTGTGATTCAGTGAAGAAAAACGGTTATAATTTTTGGACTTTTTTCGGAATTTAAATCAGAATAACTTGCATGAGCACTCCTCCTCGTCAATCTTGCACTGATACTTATAGAGCTCATATTTTCCACTCTATTGCAAATTCTTGGAAATTTTTGCCTTGATAGCCCCTCCGAATAGTGTGGATCCAGCACTACCCTATCATCTTGTTGATAACTTATATATTGAGCGGTTTTTTGCCCTGCAGATCTGTGTAATATATTATGAGACTAAATCCCCATACATGAAATTCCTTTGCGAACCTTAACGGGATATTTTACAACGAAAAGAAGAATATATATTTTTAAAGCATCTGGTTGGACCTATTTTTTGCTGCTGCGGCCAGGGATGACCAAACAATTTTTTTTTATCACACACGAGTTTTCTGAAAAATTGATAAATTTCATAAATACACTTTTTAAAAGCTAAAAATGTTTAAAAACCTCTATCTGCTCGCACGGCTTGAGCTAATATCATCCAATTTGACCGAAACTTAGCGCGGAATTTTTTTTTCATAAAATGGATTAAGTTCAAAGTATAAGCAAAAAGATCCAAAATTTCCCAAATTGAACTCCCTACAAGCACAATTACACACATTCTAACAGAAAAAAGATTGTGTGTAACTGCATCTCAATGTTGCAAATTTCCCCTCGCAAAATACATTTTTACGCGGAGACTATTCAGAATTTCTAACTGAAAATTTCACTGATATTTAGAAGCTGACCTCCAACAAAAATCAGAAAAATTTTGGACAGTAATTTCACAGGTACGCTCATGTAAATAATTCAATTGTTTGAGTCAATTTTGCAACCTTGGAATGGAGTTATGTTCCTTCGTCCAGGAAACGACGTAATGTACACCAACAGAAAAAAACGCATGTTATGGCCAATTATTGATTTTTTGGGTTTCCAAAGCAGTTCACGAAAATCTGACGCCTCTCTTCCCACAGTGCACCGAAATGGGGTTTCCACAGGCAACACTAAGAGGATAACTGAAATTCGATTATCTCTCAAGTTTTGTCAAACAAATTTTCTTACCGCATCATTATTGAGACCCGGGATGACAGAGTTTCCATTACCAGTGTCTGCGTATGTCGGTAAACTTCTTGTCAAGCTAAAACATAACCTAGATACATCTATTATTGATCAACGACCGCATTGTTTGTTAACATTCGAAATCTAACTTTCAGCAAAGTAAAAAGTCCGATTCGAGCACACCAGAAGGATATCTCAATTTCTTACAGATATTTAAGCCATTTCTGTAGAAGTTCTGTGAGGAGAGTCCAAAATAGAAACAAAACTTGCACAGATGGGAAAAAAATAAGTAAAGACCCGCGCGTGGAGAGTAATACCTTCAAAGAATTGAAACAAAATAACACGAGGGCGTCTTCAAGGAAATCACGAACTTGTAAAATGTCTCCCGGCTGTAATACTTTCGCCCCTCCCGCCCCCTAACCCTTTGAGACGGGTAGTCGTGCCGCCCCGGCGGCGCTGAGGTGTCGACCGTTTACTCAGCGAGCGGGCGCGTAAAACAAACTGTAAAAATGAAATATTAACGCCCAGGACATTTTAACACTCGTTTGACGGGAGGACGAGGTCGGTAAAGGCGTCGCACAACATCTTCTGTGCGGTGATTCGATATTCATGCCGGTTAAATGGACGTGTATTTATGCTAAAAGGAGCTATGTGCTTAGGGTTTGCCGTAGCATAGTTCCTTTCAGTGTACAGTACATCCAAGTGTTCCTCGACGTCCGAGACGCCACTTGACGGGAATACGTAGGGGCGTCCACCTTGACTCAACCCATTCACACCCCCTCAAATTCTCAAGTTTCTAGTGACGTTTTAGTCTTTTTAATTATTGCTTTTGTATTTTAAGTATTCCAATTTTTCAAAGGAGACCCACTTAAGCCGAATCTTTCAGAGACGAACAGTTAGGGGAGGGAAAAAAGGAGTGGGAGGGGGAGAAGATTTGCATGGGTATAACTTAAAAAATATCGAGGCTCGTTCTTAAATTGATCGAAGTTGCCTAATACGAGAGTGATATTTAGAAGGAGGGGGGCAGGGACAATGGAGCTCCCTCTCAACCCCCTCTCGGACGCTAGAAATTTATGGATTTTTAACGTCGATCTTATTATCTTGACAGCGAACTTTTTGGCACCGAATAAAATTATGGGAGGTTTTTAAACCACTTATATCGATGTAATCCTAATGTTGGAATTTTACTTCTAGCCAAAAAACAAAATGTTTTATTGTTTTCAATCGCACCCTCCGTATTATCTTTAATTTGAGGCAATTTTTGTGTACCTAATTTCCATATTCATTCGAATTCTTCACATGTATACCATTTATTTAGTTCATTTTTGTTTTACCTAATAATCTCGAAGAAATTATTAATATTCGTTTAGGTTCATATTTTTACAAAATGAGGTATAATACGAACATTTTCAAGTGAAAAACTCACAGATTCTTTTCAGCGATCGAAACATTTGTTTAAATTACCAATTTTACAATTTGATTTGAAGAAAATCGATAGGTTTTAACCTATGAAATGCTGTATAATTTTTATTCAACCACTAAAAAGAAAATCCTAGAAATACAATGCAAAAACTTTGCTCGTCGTTTGGGTAAGATAAATTCAATAAGTAAGGGAAGAAAGTTTCTGAACAATACAGAAATAAATAAGGTCATAGTTACATTTCTTATATAATCGATACGGTTTAGGGCTGAATATTAATTGAAATACTAAAAAAGACTATAATGGGCAGCATTTGCTTTCCTTTTTTTTCATTTTATTTTATTTTATTTCATTTCATTTTATTTATTGTGGATGAAAATTCTGTGCAATTCAATGATCAATTCTTCCCATTCTTCTGCCCCGTGTTCACTGTTCAGTGGTCCGATAAAGCTGGGAGCTTCACCGGCACGTTGATTTAATGCAATTCCTAACAACTTTTACCTCTCAAACGGGGAATGAGCATAAAAGAGCGGAGAATGTTCTTCATGAATCACGTCCTGTTAGGTTTTCGATTTTTTACTATCTTTTGTGTCGATGAATGTCTTCCGAGCGCGATTGTTTGGCTGCGTGAAAATTCGCGGGAAAGCGGAAGGAAATTAACCGTATTTCCCTGCCGGCCTGCAACGGTGGATTATGTAAATCTGGCCTGATGAATAAAAAGCGAGTGGTAATATTTGCTGTGAAAGTGCTAACACGAGACGCAGTGCTGAACGGCTACCAGGGTTTTCGCAGGAATAAATGGAGTTATGCGACCAAGGCAACGCACAAACATACATACTGACATGCTAAGGAAGAACACCTTATGAGCGTTTGGATGTTGCCTAATTTTTAGATATAGAATACTACTATTCTGAGGAACGTGTGAATATTTTTCAATCCTGCAGAGAATTTTGTTCGCAATTTAATCGCGATTTCCTGATTTTTTCAAGGAAGAATTTTAGTTGCTTGTCTTTAAAATCGTTATTTTACGCTAGGAAATTTGACAGAATATTGGCATGTTTATGTACGGCTTTTAACCTTAGAACGGCAGCGCACGAGTATGAGCCGCATTCCTCATGCCATGTTAAATCAGTGGCAATTTTTTAAGTTGGAATAGCTGTGTTTACTACATGTAAATCCATTAAAAATATCGTTTCAAGGCGAGACAAGCTGTCTCACCAAGAAAAACAGTAAAACTGCAGATAGTGTTTATATTTTTATATTACCTATCCCTGAAACCAAATGATCTTGCCCAAACTAAGGATGCAACAATTATTGTTTCTAAGTCACTCGCGTTGCCTACTTAGGATATTGAAGGCGTAAAGGTTATTAG